ATTATTGACAAAAACATGAAATATTGCCAGTTAAAGTTGATGATGTTCAGAAGTGCTCGGTTAAAAGACATTTATTAAATAAAGCACAAAAAACAGATCCCAGATATTCCTATGTGCATAAGTTAACGTTATTTTAATAGATATGCTGAAGAAAAACTGTGATAAAGGATAGCGGTTTTGTCAATTTGAGGCATAACAAGTTTTGTCTATTATTGCAAAATATTTCAGACAGGTTTTAGATAACATTGTTGAGAGATAAGGTGTTTTTTGGTGCTGAAACTCTTAAAAATACAGCTATGGTTATCATTTTAAAATAATTACAATAATGTACTACCAACGTTTTTGATTATTAATAAATCACTTAGACCCCTGACCGTTCATGCTTTCAAAATAAAATGATTTATATTGGGAATTTTTATTAAAGCTGCATGTCTCCAGATGAGTCAAACTGTTTCAAGGAAATCAAACTTGAGAGAATGCACTAAGATTTTAAGAAATGAAAAAAGTGTCAAGATTCAATTAATAATTTAATATTATGTGCGCTTAATGACTGATTTTCTAGTATTTATTACCCTATTTCTACTGCGTGACTAACGCAGTTATGGCTATTTTTGCACAGTTTGGCCTTCTTTTTTTGTTAATTTACTTAGATTGTAAGTGCTGTAAGCAATGTATAAAAAATACTTTCTTTGTTCACTATACAATACTTTACTTTTAAATACTTAATGTATTTTTAATGTAATATTTTTAACCATTTTATTTGATTTAAATGCGTTGTTGATATTGTGGATAAACCTTTTTGCCGCTGTTTCGTGATCAAAACATGTTTCATAATGCTTTATTTTCTAGCAAAATCCATAGAGATAGGTAAGCTTGAGTAAAATATTCATATTTTGAAATGAAAATCAAGATTGCGGTTTTATCAACATATTGAAAGAATAGGGTGCTGATAATATTTTCATTTTATCATTACGTCTCATAATTTTATATGTAAGTGTAAAATATATTTATTTTGAAATAAAAACAATTCAAAACAAGTATTGTTTACTTAATCTTAATAATACACATATGTTCTAAAGTAGAATACAATTATATCTATTTTTGGAACAGAAAAGTCGAAAATGTTTCTTTTATTTAATCAACATAATTTATTTGTTTGCTTATTTTTTTTGTTCACATTCAATATCACACTATAACCAATATTTTGTAAATGGTTCTCATCCAAATAGGAGTCTGTGTAGTTAGGTATCACACAGTGATGTTTTTGTTTGAGGTTAATTCCATTCACAATCGCTTACTGTTACACTGAACGCCATCTAAATGAGGAAAAAAACGCGAATCTTGTATATGTTACAATTTCTTCATATCGAATCGGCTCAATGTCACAAATGTTAAAACCCTTGATACCAAATATATTTGTATGGTAAGGCGGACGTCTAATTCTCCATTGATTTTTAATACTTCAAAATAATATGTTTATTCACTTTTTGTGTGGAAGAGAATTCAACTGTATGAAAACCAAAAGATAAATAAGTTGCTTTGGTCGAGTGTTTCTTAGGTACTTTCTATTTATTCAATACAATTGTTGTAACTTTTAAGAAGTTTTGATTATAAAAAGATACATTTATATTCTTAACGTTACTTATAATTCAATAAAAAAAAAACACTTGATATATATATATATATATATATATATATATATATATATATATATATATAAATAGAAGGAGCGCAGCGTGCTCTTTTACAGAGGGCATCATTTCAATTAACAATTACCCTTTATTAGAAAGTAGTTGTATTTAAATTATACATGTATGATTAAGTTGTTATTTAAATGGAAGAAAATTCTAGTAATCGTAATCACAAACAAAATCCTAGAGCTCTATAAAGCTTACTATATCTAATTCTCGAAATAGTTTGGTTCAAACAAACGGATCCAGGAAATTATATGTTTATCAACAGTCATGTAAATAATACGCAAATCGTAGTTTTATGTTCATGTGTAAGAAGAAAAATAAAAGCTCTGGTTTAAAAGTTTCTTATTTCTGCTTAGTTGAATAACCCATGGTCCTTCGTATTTGCCCGGACTTTTAAAGTCCGTGGTATTTGACAGACCCTGAATAACATAAGCAATAGTTTTTTCTATAACGAGGACTCTTTTTCTTTAATGAACACATATGAATACATTAAATTGTATCTAAGTGTGTATAACATAGAAGAATAACCATTGTGGTCCGAATTATGATCCTCTCCGAAATAATTGATCAGCTTTCAGTAATTTTACTTTGCTGGCAAAGTAGCCGATAGGTGGGAGATAAATTTAATGTCAGAATATCCTAGCAATACGTTAAGAAACCTTATTAAATAATCTTTTAAACGAATATTTTATAGAAGCAAGTGATATTTTGTCTGGACATATAACAGAGCTATTTAACAATATTTTAGAATCTGGCAATTTCCCCGAAATCTGGACAAGAGGTTGTATTATACCATTACATAAAAAAGGAAATAAAGAAAATGTACAAAATTACAGAGGAATAACTTTATTAAGTCATCTTGGTAAATTGTTTACTAGTATTTTAAATCAAAGAATAACTAAATGGTGTGATGAAAATAATATTATCTCTGATGCGCAGTTTGGTTTTAAAAAAGGTAGTTCGACTACAGAAGCTGTTTTTATATTGCATTCTATAATTGAAAAATATTTGAACCAGAATAAAAGATTGTATTGTGCTTTTATTGATTTAAAACGCTGTTTTGATTCTATATACAGGAATGCACTTTGGTTTAAGATGTATTATGCTGGTTTGAATGGTAAATTATTAAGAATAATAAGAAGTATGTATAGCTCTGTTAAATCTTGTGTTAAGTCATGTGGTAACTATTCTGATTTTTTTGATATTTCGATTGGATTACGTCAAGGGGAGATAATTTCGCCAGTTATGTTTTCCTTGTTTATTGAAGATCTAGAACTTTATTTGCAAAATAACTTAAATTCTGGTATAGATCTTCAAGACATTTGCCTAATTTTACTTTTGTTTGCTGATGATATGGTATTAATTGATGAAAATCCTCTAGATCTTCAAAATTCATTAAATAAGCTTCATGAATACTGCAATAAATGGGGATTAGAAGTTAATGTAAACAAAACCAAAATCGTAGTTTTTCGTAAGAGAGGTGGTTTAAGAGCAGGAGAAAAATGGTTTTATGGTCAAGATAATATAGAAATTGTAAAGGATTTTAATTATCTAGGTGTTACATTGAATTATACAGGAAATTTTAACTTAAATACTCAAACTTTATATGGTAAAAGTTTAAAAGCCCTAAATAATTTAGTGGCAAATATGAAAAAATATGAAACAAAACCAAAAATAGCCCTACAGTTGTTCGACTCTTTTATTGGTTCTATTTTAATGTATGCAAGTGAAGTATGGGGTTTTCACAAATCAAAAAAGTTAGAAAATATTCATTTGAAATTTTGTAAAACTATTCTTGGTGTTAGAAAATCTACTAGTAACGCAGCTGTGTATGGTGAACTTGGAAGATATCCGTTGTATATAAACAGATATGTTCGAATTGTAAAATTTTGGTTTAAGATAATAAGTTCAAGTAATATTATTATAACTACAATTGTTAATTCGTGTATGTCTGATATAAATATAGGGTATACAAATTGGTTTGCAAATGTACGAAGTCTTTTAGAAAAATACGGTTTTTTTTATGTATGGTTAAACCCTTTAAGCGTTAATCAAAATTGTTTTATTGTCGTTTTTAAACAGAGATTAATAGATGAATATTTACAAGAATGGAGAGCTAGTATTAATTGTAATGATGTATTATTTTTATATAAATCAGTAAAGGACAGTTTTGAAATGTCACCTTATTTAGAAAATATTGTATCAAGAAAACTAAGAATATCTTTGACAAAACTGCGTATTTCAGCTCATAATCTTAGAATACAGACAGGTAGATATTCACGTGAAAGAGTAGAGCGAAATTTAAGATATTGTTTAGTTTGCAATACAAATGAAATTGAGGACGAGTTCCATTTTGTGTTTAAGTGTCCTGCATATGAAAATTTAAGAAAAATATATATTAAGAATTATTATAGAAATAGACCAAGTATGTTTAAGTTTACTCAATTATTAAAAAGTGATAAAAATAAAGAAACAATTATGTTCTGTCAATATATTAATGAAGCTTTCAAATTACGATATCAGATTATTAATGCTTAGATATGTATTTCAACCTACTTTTATGTATACCTAACAGATCCAAACTAATGAAAAGTTTTATTGTGTATACTACTGTGTATGTAATAGCCATTATGCTTTAATATTAGTGTCATCTCTATTTTGTTTCGTCCATCCAATATAATTAATTATGTTTACTTTCATGTCATTGTATTTTTCATGTCATTATATATGTATGATTGTATATATGTTAATCACGAGAAACTTGTAGTTTAAGTGAAATAAACGTTCTTCTTCCTTATTAATACATAAAACGTCAGAAATTATTAACTTTTTTCACCAATGAATCTGGAAAACGCTTTGATTGAGTCCATTTTAACTAAAAAACAGAAAGCTCCATGAAAAAAAGAAATTATGGAAAAAAATAATTAGATTTACAAAAGAATATATATCCTGAAATGATAATGAATGTATTACTTGTAATTTGCCGTTCCCAGTGCATGTCTTGCGAAAAAATATAAGCGTCCCTGCTTTAACTTAGATGCAAACTTTTGAGCATACACTGTATAAACCTCAAAACAGCCGTACTAGATGAATATGCGCTTAGAAAATGTAGTTCTAAAGTTTATTTCTTATGTATTAATGAATTAGACTCAAATAAGATATTTTCTTAATTGAATTTGTCATTTACTAAATATTTATCGACAAATTAGAAATATTAAGTAAAGTATCAAGCTGTATAATTTTTTCCCACGAACAAATAGACCGGTGTATTATCAATACGCAGTGAATCGCCCGTCAGTCGTATTTAGCGAATCAAAACAGAATGGAGCGTTATTCGAGACGCTGCAATAAACCTGTGTTTATTTACAAGAAAGATGTTGACATTTGAAGATGGTGTTTTACTATGGTAGAAACATGTATATGGAACCAGGATAAAGGTTCGATTCATGCGAGAAATTATTATTAAGTGTTAAATCATGGAGCTAAATTGGGTGACATTCGCGCACCTTACTTTCTGTTTATATCTAATAGTTTTGTGTAACGGTGCCAAAGTTAATTTAGGAGAAACTGATATTTTGATTGTAAACCGGCCGGTTTCAGTTTCATTCGGAAGATCAGTGACAATAAACCCACTAACTGATCTGAGAATTAATGTTCGACCAGGGGACACGTGTGTAGTGACATCTCTAGATAGAAAATGGGATTTAACATTCAAACCTGGAACACTTAGTGCTTCCGAATTCCCGTGCAATTTTGGGACATCTGGCTTAAAATATACTCATTTTGGAAGTCGAAGATTGTCAACTGATGTTATTCAATTGTTGTTGAGATATGATTCTGCCACTCAAACCATAATCATTCCATTCAGTTTAGTGATAAATATTAATTTTAAACCACTGGAGATAATTACACACATGAACACAATATCTGTCATTCGCCATTTAGGATTGAGTACACCTATAGACTCTAGAACATTGAAGTTTACGGTACAAAGTAAAGAGGAAACAGTGTGTAAATTAAGTGTAATAAGTCGGTCTAGCGGCCTACCTCAATATGGATATTTATCAAACAGCAGTTTACCTTTAACAAATATGGACTGCAATGAATTTCTAAATCTAGGAATACGTTACAAACACCATGCCCAGGTCAGTGCACCAAATATAGATTTCATTCCAATGACAGTCCAGTTATTGAGAAAAAATGGAGATTTACTAAAACAGGAATATTTTCAAGTAAAAGTAGAAATTGTATCTGGACAAGAGAACACTGCACCAGAGCCAAGTAGAGATGCCTTGTTTATTATGGATTCTATCAACCAATTTGTTATGACAGCAATTACCCCAGAGATTATTTCAGCTTATGATGCCCAAACCCCTTCAGACAAACTTTTATTCAACATAACACAATACCTTGGTCCTGGTGAAGGAATAATAGTTAATACAGACAATCGAAATATTCCAATTCATTCTTTTTACCAGCATGAAATTAATGATCTCAAAATTGCCTACAAGCCGCCAAGTTCAGATTCAAATATCAAACGACTGTTTCAGACTGAGATTACAATATATGACACGGATGGTCTCGCATCCGACCCAATCCCCCTCATGATAGTTGTTGCACCAATGAATACCTATGCTCCAGTAGTAACAACAAATACAGGAATTCAACTAACCGAAGGGGAAACTCGTGCAATTAAAAGTCCAAATTCTTTAGAAATATCTGATGAGGATGATTTAGATGATGTGAAAATTTATCATATAGATGGAATGAAGCATGGTCATCTTGTACTGCCACCAGGAAAAAAATATTTTACGCCTTCAGATTTAGAACAAGGGTCGGTTGTCTACCATCATGATGACAGTGAAAGCCTAAGTGATAATATTATTTTCCGTATGTCAGACGGGAGCAATGAAGTTGAGTTTTTATTTCCTGTCACAATTTTCCCAAAAGACGACCTTCCTCCAACCCTAAATGTGAATACAGGATTAGAACTGAGAAAAGGTGATGTTGTTGAAATAAGTCAATTTATTCTAAGTGCAACTGATACTGATACTGCAGATGAATCTATTATCTATAATATTAAAGCTCCTTATTCAATCATGGGAGTTATAAATAAAAGACAATTCCAAATGCCAAATGATGTTGAAAAATGGGATTATGAAAATGGAATATATGCCAAAGTTGTCACTAATTTCACTCAGAAGGACATTGTTGAAGGTAAAATATTTTACAATCATGTTGGTGACCATATATCCGATATTGTTACAGATAAAATAAGAATCAGTCTTTCTGATAGTGGTAACCCTCCAAATATCTCGCCGGAATATGAATTAATCGTAAAAATCCACCCTGTTGATAATATTCCTCCATATTTATATCCTAATACCCAACTACAGCTGGAAGTTGAAGAAAATGAGATGGTTCATTTTCGTAGAAAGACATTAAGATACGCAGATGATGACACAAATGATCGCGAAATCAAATATCAAATAACACGTCCCCCTTATGACACTTACACTGGCGGCCCTGGGGATGCTGGGAAGATTGTTTATTGCGAGGATCCTTATCGTGCAATAATCCGGTTTGTACAATCTGAAATAAATCACTACAAGATATGTTTTCAGCCCCCATCAGTAGAGCTTGGTCTTACCACTAGAATTATTCAGTTTGATTTCAGTGTTGAAGATACATCGGGAAATGTGCTCCGCAATCAGCAATGTAAAATAATCATTAAACCAATCAATAATCAACCGCCAATTATAAAAAATACTGGAGTTGTCATATTTGAAAATGATGAAATTCTTATAACTTCTGAAATGTTTGACATTGAAGATAGGGACACCGATTTAACTGACATTATTATAATAGTAAGAGTTGTTCCAGATCATGGTGGTCTTTATAAAGAAGGGAGAGAACTGTCTGTTGGCGATGTGTTCAAAATGAGTGACATTATACAAAGACATATAATGTACAAAAATTATGGGGAAAGTGTTGAGGTTTTTGAAGATAAGTTCGTACTAGAAGTAACTGATGGTGTTCATTTTATACCAGGAACATTTAAAATAAAGATAAGACCTATTGATGACGAGCCAGCGTACTTTGAAGGCACGGCTGATTCTAGTACTCTAAATATACAGTTAGATGTTAATGAAAAACAAAGCGTAACAATACAGCAAGACCAGTTTAAAATTCGTGATCCTGATTCAGATGTCATGAATGTGATGTATCTTATAAATAAATACCCCCAACATGGAAGCATTCTTAAGAATGGTCGTAGAGTCAGTTATTTTTCGCAGAGAGACATTTGGCGTGGAACTGTCACTTATCAACACTCGGGTGACGAAATTGGGCTTAATGAAACTTTGGATCAGGTTCAACTAGGAGTGCATGACAATAATAGAATAGTTCTTGAAGATGGAACTAGATTAAAGGACATTTATATATATATCAAAATTTTTCCAGTGAATGATGTTGCACCTGTAATTACAACAGGTGAAAATCTAAATGTTTTAGAAGGTGGTAAAGTAACAATTTTACCAACAAATTTTGATATTCAAGATTCTGATACTAGAGAAGATGAAATTATTTGCATGATTAATGAGCAGGCAAAACATGGATTTCTAGAAAATAAAGCCCCACAACCTGGCTCAGAGAAATCCAGGGAAGGTTTGCCAATTTCAGCTTTTTCAGTTAAAAGTTTAAGACAAGGGGACATTTCATATGTTCAAAGCGTTCATAAAGGTGTTGAACCAAGAGAAGATCAGATAAAGCTGCAATGTTCCGATGGAATTAATTTATCAAATTCAAACAAGCTTCATATTGTAATTCACCCAGCAAATGATGAAGTGCCAGAGGTTTATATTCGCGAATTTATAGGATCTGAGGGTATGGAAATACGTATAGATTCACCCATACTAAATGCAGTGGACAAAGATGAACCACCAGATACGTTGAATTTCATCATTACAAAACAACCAACACATGGAAAAATATTCCAACAAACTATGAGTGGCGATCTTCTTGTTAATAACTTCACACTTGGCGATATTGAGAAATTTTCAACCATTATTTATGAGCATGATGATTCCGAAACAGAATCGGATCATTTTGAATTTGTCCTCACTGACGGTGTACACAATATATCAAAATCTGTTCCAATTATCATTTTTCCTGTAGATGATGAAACCCCTAGACTTAAGATAAATAATGGAATTGAAATAGAAAATTTAGGCGATCGAAAAGTCATAACAAATAAAGATCTTTTGGCCGAGGATATAGATTCTTACATTGGAAATATTACTTATATTATAAGAAGAACTCCTCAGCAAGGGTACCTGCAGAAAAGATTCAGGAATTATGAAAGAAATCTTACACTGGGATTAAATTTCACTCAGATGGACATAGATCGCCAAGTCATTACTTACATTCACACTGGTCAGGAAGTGAAAAGGGACGTAATAAAGTTTGAAGTTACTGATGGACTTAATCCTTTGATAGATCGCAATTTCTACATCACAATTCAAGGAATGGATATCATCTACCCGGAAGTTTTTAATCGCGGAGTTGAACTGCCTGAGGGTGGCATGGTTGTCTTGACAACTGACATTATAAGTGTCACAGACATTGATACTCCTGATGAAAAACTCAGATATACAGTTACAAAGCCCCCACAGCATGGAATGTTAGAATATGTTGTACGTCCAGGCATACCAATTCTAACTTTTAGCCAACTTGACCTTGTTGCAAGTCGTGTCAGATATGTTCATAATGCTGAAGATGAAATGAAAATGGACAATTTTGAGTTTGAAGTAACAGATGGATTTAACCCTGTGTCACGTTCATTTAGAATTGCTTTAACTGATGTAGACAATAAGAGACCAGTTCTTATGTTTACAATGCTAAGATTAACAGAAGGGTCCAATAAAACTATTACTCCATACGAATTAAAGGCTGTTGACCTGGATACACCAGATGAAAAAATAATTTTTACAATTACTCAGGTCCCATTACATGGAAACTTACTGTACAATTTTTCCAGAATTGTGTCAAGATTTTCGCTTAAAGACATACACGAGAAACAGATTTCCTACCAGCATGATGGGACAGAGACTTTATCCGACAGTTTTACTTTTACTGTTACGGACGGTACACATGTACAGTTTTATATACCTGGTTCTAATATACCAACACGTCGCCCTCAGGAAATGGATATTGAAATCATTCCAGTAGACAATCGGGTCCCTCAGATGTCGGTCAATACTGGGGCAACATTTCTTACCCCGTTAGACGTAGGTCTTGGCTTTCAGTTTACAAGTCGATGTTTGCAGAGCGAAGATTATGACAGTCCTGATGACAGTCTGAAGTACACTGTGACAGTTCCACCAAAACATGGGTACATACGTAACATCCGGAGAGGAAATGGAGGCATGGTCATGTGGAATCAAGGTAAATGTTTTCACAATAGTTTATAAATCTTGATATTTAATCATTTTGATGTGATAAAATTCAATATTCGTAATATTAATGAGATATAAATTATATCTCACTGTTTAAAATTATGTAAAAAAGTAAATATTGGTGCATATCTATGCATGTAAAGGCACAGCATAGTAGAATATAAAACATTTTTTGCTGTTAAAGATATTTGAAAATTCTCACTTAGAAGTGAGATATATATTCTATATCATATACTAAAACCAAACATGTATTTCTATATATTAACTGTCATAAACATCTTGTCTGGAATCTTCTCTCATGTTATTTTATATCCTTATGATAAAAAAAAGTTGCCAAACCCTGCTTTCCTACAATGTTACCTGTGGTTAAATATATTTACCATTTTATCAAAAGTACAAAATGTACATATAAAAGTACATAATGAGACCAGAAATAAAGCACCATCAAACGGCTGATAATAATAAGAAATTCTTAATGTTTATTTAAACAAATGCAGATTTTAACAGATAATATCTCCTCAGTTTTAATTATCATATAATTCTTTAGCTCAAGTATTATTTTATTATAAGTCTTTCCCTTCTGCCTAAAGGATAGGAATAAATACTTAGAAATCTTTTAAAGAAATCATTTTCTTCTGAAGCAATTGCTTTTAATATATACATAGTATAAAAAATTCAAAAAAAAATAAAAGAATAGGAAAAATCTCAAAGGGAAAGGTTGTTTATGTACACTTTGATAGCATAAAATCCCCCTAGAAAATGTTCATGAAAAGGTAAATGCCTCTAATATCACTGGGGGAACAGTCTAGCTTAACTGGATACGCTTGTTTCATGTTTAAAGCATTAATGCCTAGATTAGCTTGTAATCAAGTAAACATTGAGAAATAAGAGTTAAGGGATCAAAATATCTCCAGAAATGCTATTTCTATTTTCCTAGAACATTTGTCTTAATATTTTCTGCTAATGAAAACAAGTTAATCATGTTTGGTTTTATTGTAACGGGGATATTGGATTATTAGAACCAGCCATTGTTTAATCATCAAAAGAAACAAATAGCCTGACTCTACCATTTATTGCTCTTCCTCTAATTCTTTCTCCCAATATTTTATTGCAAATAAATATGATGGAAATAAATAAATAACCCTGAAACATTTTTTACTGTTAGTTATAAATGTAGCATAGATGTATCTTCATTGAACATTATGATGATATTTTTTTATTTTTTTTAATTTTGGTCATTATGAAGTTAAATTTCTGTCTTACTGTAATAATTATTTACTTGTTACTAAATTCATGTAAATTTATTCAAAACTACCAAACTTTGCTATAATTATGGATGAATCTGACCTATTAATTATGGAGATCTTTTGAAAAAATTATAAAAGAAGATATACTGATGAAAGGATGTTTTGTTGTAATTTGAAACAAATAGAGGAAATGTAAAAGTTTTGTATAAGGTTTAGACCACAATTTAATTCAAGCTTGCGGTGACCAAGAATTTATAACATCTTCAAAAGGCAGTAATATTGATTCAAAAACTTGTTCTTATTGGTCTTTTAAAATTAATTTCCTCTTAAATATCTTTGAGTTAAAATTTTAGAACCAAATAAATATGAAAACCAAAACAAAATGATACTTAAGTTCAATGTTATTTTAATTGTAAATATACTCAAAATCAAGAGTGTTTTTTTTAATAATATATAGCAGAAATTAATTATTATACTTAATTTAAACATTTTAGTAAAATTGTAGACATGTGTATTAATGTAACATAAGATATAAAAGGTCAGCCTAAATAATTGTCAAAATGAATTTTCTTCAGAAATCTAGAATTTACTGTAATCACAAATATTTTTAAGTTAATGTCACGAAAACTTATGCAATTGTTTTATTTATAAATAATTGAATTCATTCAGACTTGAACAAATGAGTGGCCAAAGGGATGTACATGTATCAGTACAGTCTGAATTTATTTTACTTAATTAAACAAAGGCTTACATAAAACCCAGATTTAGTGGGCCAGAATATTATGCATAGCCATAGGTTGAAAAATATTCCAATTAAGAAGTGATCAGTCTTGCATAATTGGTTAGAAGGCAGGTGCTAACTGAAGAAATATAATTAACACTTGACCTTGGTAATGAGCCAACCATCTGGTTTGCTGTAGGAAATAATTTAGTAATCATCCAGTGGTAATTGAAACTGGGCAGTAAGGAGTGAAGAAAGACCGTGTCATTAATATTACATAATAAATTAATATGCATACTATAGTAATTAGATTTATGTATATTGATAGTTGAATGCAACAAAGTTTTAACTTGATATGAATTTGAAAACATGTAGTATACTGTACCAAAGTAACAATGGGTTTTTAATTAGACCGGTGTTACAGATTACCCAGCAGACACTGTAACTGACACTGATGAGCCCTCTAAGTATGCTGTCTCATGAAGGCTTAGGGTGGAAATATGTTTATTAGCTGACTAAATTGTTTTGTTCCTGTTTATGTGCATTTTATTTGTTTTTACATCTGTTTTATGGGTGTATTATGAATTTCTTTATTTTGTAGTTGATCTGTTTGTGGTCCTGATTTGCCCATGGTAAATAAATGTTAATGAAATCCTCATAACGTTTATAACGTTTCTTGTTTTCTACCTGGCATATTTGTTCATTTTGGGCATGATTTGCATTAATTTTGTTATAAAAATTTGTCAGAAATTTACTATGAAAGAGCAATTTCCATTCAGTTACTGCATGCCCTGTTAATTTTATGGCAGTACATGCCTTGCAATTTCAAAAACATTGAAAAAACCGTATACAAATATTTGTGGCTGTTCCACAGTTATAGTCTGATGACATATAGGAAAGATACTTTAACATAAGAGTAATGATAATTTTTCTGGTTAATATAATTATAAATTTTCTGTTTACAGACATTTTAACCTGAAAAGTCATACTGCTTAAAATAGTTTGCTAGCAGCAGACCTAGATCAGCTAGCATATGTGTGGTGTCTTATCATGAGTATTATGATTTCCTATAAAAATAACATACTTCTAACATACATACATGTATTTCTATAAATTTAATAATATGATATGTTCATTACATCATCTAATTTTGATTATTCAATAATCATAAAAGGTTTTCTTGTTTTTGCTCTCATTCACTCTTCTTAATCTGTTTTTTTTTCCCTCATACTTTGTTGAATGAAGTTAAATATTCATAAATGTCATTAGTTCTATTTCTTTCAAAATCAGTTTATTAGAGAGAGAGAGAGGGAGAGATAGCAAGAGATGCAAACATATTAAAGTATCATGTAAGTGCAAACACATTAAATGCTGAAATTGAAAATTAGATGCTCACTAAAAAATGAGCTACACAAAAAAATAAAGTACGAAAAAAATATGTATATATATATATAAATTGAAGACAAAATTGCAAGTTTAAAATACTGAAGTATGATACCACTTTATATTTTATGAATGAAAGCATACATAGATTTAAATCACTAGACTAAATCTCATTTATATTAGGTGCATTTTAAATATATGAATTAAATCGTAAGATAAACCGTGATTTAATGATAGTTCTGCAACAGAGATTGCTGAATAAAATATCTTTTCTCATTTCATCCGGACAAAAAATTGAAAAAAAGATACAAGCCGCCTCATTGTTAAACCTACCAGGAGCGTGAGTCGATGATTGTTAGCGTAAAATGAGTCTCTTAAATAGGGAGTCGCTCACCGAGAACGATGAAGATTTTAGATAGCGCAATACTACCAAATAATATAATGATAATACTGTCTCATCAAAGGGATGTTAAATAATACGTGGATGTGGTAAAAATCAAATAAAACTCAAATATTTCTTTGGGCCTGACAACATTTTTATTCATTTACTGTGAAATTTTATTCAGTTTTTGATACTTTGTGAATTTATTAAAAGCTGACTGAATAAAAATCATTGATTTTAAAGTCCACCAGCTATGTGGTTTTATGACAAAATATTGATAGAATTTCCCCATGATATTTATTATTATACAGAATTTTTATCACCTGCAAATTAAGTCATTGTTGGCCTGGGAAATTATGACCATTTATGACAAGACTTGATTAATCTAATCAATTCATAGTCCTTTATCTAACTTGTGATGTAATTTCTTTCCTGCGACTGACTTCAGTTGTTTCATTTTCATGGATAAAAGAGATTTCTCTGTGAATATTGGAGTCAGCTTGTCTGTAAAGGTTCTTTCTGTTATAGAAAAAACTGCATTTATATTGAACAATTATCATTTGGTATATTTTCATTCATATGAATCATAAAAGTCCCAAGGTGGTATTAATCTTGTTTTTTATGTGACAAGTTGTAGGCTTTATATCACTGCCTAGGTGGCAAATGCTGGATTCTGTATCATGTTTATTTCCTACAAAGAGATAAGCAAATCTGAAATTCTGATCAGTTTATCTTATAATTTATTTGTTAATTCCCAATTTGAAGGGAAACATATATTTCAGTATTAGCAGAGGAATTGTTTAAATGTGTAGCACAAGCTGGCCGCCCCTCCCCTATCTGTAGTTCACAGATATGTTATCTTGAAGATAGATTTACCAGTCCACAGTGATAATGTTGTAAAGATGTTCTCAGATACTGTTACACATGATTGATTACCATAATCTTCTAATGTGTTTCTATAAAGCAGCGTAACAGAACATTGACCCAACAAGTTTTTAAATACAATATTTCATAATGCTAAAAGGGGTAATTAATTAACATACGAAAAACATATTATTGCAGTGAGAGTCACAATAAATTTACACCATATAGGACATAATTTGTACTCTGGTTTAAATAATTTGTCACTCTTTTCCCAAATTAAGGAGATTTTAATTTTAAATTGTTAAACTCCCAAGAAAACATTTAAACACTTTTCAGAGTTAGCATGTATGTGAAGGCTGCAGGTCTGGCTTCATGCTAATACAATGTGTTTG